GAGAGGGAAAGTGTGGAAGCATCCTACCCCTCAATGGGGGATTATCACACTGCAATCCCTTTTCTTCCATTTCTTCTTTCAGGATGTTGGGCACAAACACACAAGTGCCTGGTGTGTTTTCCAAGCTACCAAGTCTGAGACTCGAATCAGAGACTCTGCTATGTGGGATCCAGCTGTCTGTCTTAACTACCTACCATGCCACTGACTGACCCAGATGACTTTACACGGTTGTTCTTGTTTTAACTTCTGAAAAGAAGGGCATGCTGTATATATAGGAGGAAGTATGGTTATAGTGTGACTGGCCACATGGAGGACTTTCATTCCCCTTGGTAATCTGTGCTTTACGAACCTCTGCTCTTATCAAATAGCACTCTATAAAGACACAGATGCACAAAAAATACATACTCATCCATTCATAGACTCTGGAATATCTCACTGACATAAAAGTAAAAATGCAAGCCAGTGAATACAAACATACATGCAGGCAAACTTGCACACAAACACACATACTCATACAGATTTGTACGAACACACATGCAACAACTCTCAACTGAACTGGTCTGAGGTGTATTTCATGTTGAGTAAATTCTCTTTGCAAGCCAAATGATGTATAGCAATGCAATGTATAAAAAAAAATAATGAAATTTAAATTTAAAAAGAAGAGAGAATAAGCAAAGCATGAAAGATGAGCAAAGTCAGTCACATCATTTCCATTCCATGGTTAGGCCCTCTGTGAAAGTGTCCTAGCCCCTTGAGCCAACAATATTGAACAAGCCATATCCAGCCCAGTATACCAAGCACTTGCTAATTAAGTTTCTCCTATCATCTATAATGTGGACCTTTCTCTTGTGATCTATTTAACATTCACAGACTTAGTTTACCACTTTCTTTTCAATTCCAGAGAAAGCAAAGCAAAAATAGCCCAGAGCAGAAAGTGGGAAAAGTAGAAAAAGAGTGAAGAGAGCGGACAGAAAAAGAAAAGAAAAAATCAAGGCACTTTCAACTCATTCATTATTCGTTCATTTAACAAATATTTGTGTGCCAGACTTTACGGTAGGTTGTAAAAATTCAACCATGATTAAAATAAATCATGAATCAGACAGGCAAGTCATCTTTTCTCCTTGATTTTGTAATTATACTTATTTAATTCTTTCAATAATCCAGTTTCAGCTCAAAATAAAAATTTTGAACTCGAGGAAATACCTAGATAACCTTTAGTTAGTTTCAATCTTCTAATCTGTGAAATGGGCACAATAAATCAACATTTTTAATATTGTAAGGATTCAGGGAGAAGCTAAACAAAGCACCTAGCTAACTGCCTGGCACAGGAATAGATACACACTTAATGTTTTCTGGCTGGAAACACACACACACACACACACAAATAAATAAATAAAAACACTGAATGAATTTAATGAATGAAAATCTGTACAGAGAGAAAATAAATGTAAGTCCCCAGCATAGATCGCAGATGAATACTTAGCTTCTTGGAAGTGTCAGGGATTTAGAAGAACTCAGAGAATAATCCCAAAAATAGACAAGTAGTATTACATCAGATTAAGAAGTTTCTGCATGGCAAAAGACACACTAATTAGTGTGACAGCCCTCAGAATGGGAAAATATTTTTGTAAACTATGAGTCAGATAAGGGGGTGATAATCAGACTACACAAGAAACTCAAGCGGCTGTCCCCAAAAAAGATGATTAACCCTAGTAAAAGATGAGAAAATGAGTTGAAAAAAAAAATCTCTCATGAAGACATATGAATAGTCAAAAGGCATATGAAAAAATGCTCAACATCCCTCATTGCAAGGGAGATGCAGATTAAAATCACAATGAGATACCACCTAACCCCAGTCAGAATGACAAAGATTAGAAAAACAAAAAATGATAAGTGCTGGCAGAGGTGTGGTGCAAGGGGAACTCTCCTACATGGCTCATGGGAATGTAAGTTGGTCCAGCCTCTGTGAAAAACAATTTAGAGGTTCCTCAAAGATCTACAAATAGAATTACCATAAGATCCAGCAATCCCATTCCTTGGTATCTACCCAAAGGATAGAATTCTCAGTTGGAAAAGTGCTTGCACATCGATGTTTATTGCGGCATTATTCACAATTTCTAAGACATGGAACCAACCCAAATGCCCCGTACAGATGAATGGATTGAAAAACTGTGGCACATATACTCTATGGAATACTCTTCAGCCATAAAAAAACACGACCCTGGCTTTTGACAGAAAGTAGATGAATATGGAAGATTTACTGCTGAGTGAAGCAAGCCAGGCTATGAAGGAGAGACATTGTATGTCTCCGCTTAATATGTACCAAGTGTCTGCACTCTATGGCCAAACTGAATGACTAAAGGTTATAGAAACTTAGTAAATGTTTGTGAATACCAGATACAGTGTGGGAAGAATGCAGGTGAAGGATCAGAGTCTGAGGAAGGACATTAAGGAGAAAAATAGAGAGGCAAGGCATTTATGGGACAAAGAAATAGATTAATATCTATTGAAGATAACTTTATAGTACTGTCAACTGGACTGGTGAGAAATGTACACATGTTGGAATATTCACTTTGTAAGCTATGTAACATGTGATTGAATGTATAAAAGAAATTGAAATAAAAAGAAATAAAAATTTTTAAATTTACTAATGTATTTGTTTTTGTCAAAGACATCTAAAATGAATGGGTTTCACTAATTATTTTCAATATTTAACTAAACTCATTGTATTGGCTAGAAGAACCAAGGTTAAGACTAGATATGAGAACAAGTATGCATATCTTATTTTGAACATCAGTGAAAATGCAAAATGTTTTATCACTAAGCATGATATTTGCAGTAGATGTTTCAATATGGTCCTTAGATGTCTCTTGTAAAATAGTATTATTTTCTAACCGGTTTATGTATTGAGTTGTAGTAAGATTATTCTTTGTATGCTTTGATTATGGTATATTCTTTTAATGCAGTGGTATGATTACTTATTTTGCAAAGTTTTTTTTTATGTCTTACACTTCATGTTTAACATCTTCTTAAGTGTAAGTTTTATCAATACAAGATATTTTCTCCTTTGGGGGAAAAAAAAGAAGAAGAACTCAAGAGATAATCACAGTTGCAATCAAAGATAGCCTTCCTAAAAGTCACCTTTCTCAAATACTGCATGCTTGAATCCTTTCCAATTCTCTCTTCCCTGGCACAAGTTAATGAAGACTATCTCAGTATATCTCACTAGAAAAGGCTATTATCTGAATTTCCTCATCTCTGTCCCAGAGATAATATTTTCACAAACTGAAGTCTTCACACATGAAACCTGTAGACCTTTTAGAATAAAGTAATTCCTTTTGGGAATCAACTGACCCTTTGATAAATGATTTTGAAGTTTCAACTCAGAGAATCAGAAAATTGCCAACTACAACATGTTATCTTTCCTTGCTCAAAATCATACAAAAAACGCCCACAAGAACAAGGACTGAAAAATCACTACACAATGAAACCTCCCAAATGCCTTCCCAAACCAAATGACATCAAGTCTCCATATATACTAAAAAAGTTCAGTTTTCCTCCTCTGCCATACTATTGTGACAAAATGGGAAGTCATGTACCCACCTGTGTACAGGTCTGTGTCTGTATATTCGTCCACTTTCTTGTGCTGCAGAATATAGTCAGATACCTTGGTCCCAATAGCTGGCTGAACATCCACCCACTCTAAAGAGACCACGGTGCTGGAGGGCTCCACTGTTGGCGACAGCCGCAGCCTATAGGAAATGACAGGGAAAGTTTCTTGTTTGCCAGCCAGCACCAGCTGGGGCCCAAAAGAGTACACACATACCAAACTGAAACACAGGTTTCATCCTTTGCTCCAATCCTGATTCCATCCACTACCTTGCATGCCTTTAAGCAAGTTATTTCACCTCTCATGATCTCTGTTTCTTCATATATAAAATGGGGATAAGAGGAACCACCTTTCAAGATGCAGCTGAAATTCTGTAAACAAATTCATGCACACAACCTGTGCTCAATGGAAGCTGATTACTTTTGCATTTATTTAAACTATATTCTCAATGATGACTCATTTCTGATAAAATTAGCTGTGTCTTAAAACACACGAGGCTTTCAAACCTTCTGCCATTCCTTCAATCCTCCGATGTATCAGTCAACTCTTTAATATCCTTAAGTAAATATTCTCTCTAAAAGTGCAAAAATCCTGGAATGAGTCCTTACATAAAGCAAGAAAAAGCAGAATGACTGAAGGTTACATATAACTGAAACGTCCTTAGAAATACCGAAGTGCAATTCCTTTGTTTGACAAAATGGAGAAATTAAGGCCGATAAAAGAGAAATGGTTTGAACAAGGTCAGATAGCAAGTTGGGGACTGTTGCTCCAGTGCCTGACACAGAAATTGAGAAAGACATAGTTGCTTGGCCTATTGGTCAATCTTTGCTGGATGAATGAATGAAGGAAGGAATGGTGACAGACTGAGTGGTATTACTGAAATATCAGCATCTACCCCACACTGTGTTTCTGTTCTTTCAAAACCCCCACCTTTCTTAAAGAAGGAGGTAGGCCCCAGAGACTTCAGAGATATGTTTAGGTGCTCTGGAAACAGAAGCAAGATATGGCCTGGCTGACAGGACAGGAGTGTGAGGCCATGAAAAGGGGTAGCCAAAGGGAGAGGGGCCATACATACGTACACTGGCTGCGGAAGGGGGCTGCAGTTGGGGAGCCCACTGGCATCAAAGGCGCTGAGGTCACACCTGCACCAGTCATCGATCACATCCCCTTTCCCTGAGCACCAGTAGGAACTCATCAGTGCACTCTTGAAGGCCTGGAATAAAGGAGGACAGAAGAGACGATGATGACAGTGGTGGTGAGACTGAGGGTAGAGGTGCTATGGCATGAAGGTAGCCAAGGCTTCAGTGCAAACATCCTAGACACAGGACACCATCTCTGGCTTAAACCTTTAGCACTCTACCACAAGACCCTCCCATCCCAAGGCATTCCCTATGTAGCAGCCAGGATGATCATTGAGACACAATAGTGACAGTATCCATTGAGAACGTCCCCTGGGCCTGGCACTCTAACTGTGTTTACCTATTCAGTCTTTTACAACAAACACATATGATAGATGATCATATTATTATCATTTTCCATTTTACGAATTGGAAAACTCAGGCACATAGAAAACAAGTAACTTGCCTGAGGTTCACAGCTAGTAAGTGACAGAGCTGGGATCTGATCCAAGGCGGTTTGGCTCCAGAGCCTGTTCTCGCAAACACATGGTGATACCGTTCTCATCAAAGCCTGGTCATCTCACAGCCCTGCTTGAGAATCTTCAGAGGCTTCCCACAGTCCTCAGGATAAAGTCTAAACTCCTGGTTCTACCTTCTGACCCCCTCCTCAGGCTCATCTCTCACCATTCTTCCAAATTTCTTTGCAGAGTCATCTATTCATATGCAACCACTAACACTTCCACCAGCAGTGAATTTCTGTTTATATGAAGTGTGCTCTAAATCAGGAGATAACAAACTGTTTCTGTAAAGGGCCAGACAGTAAATATTTTTGGCTTTGTGTCCAGGAGGGAGTCTTGCTACAATTACTTAATTTTGGCTTTGTTGCATGAAAATGGCATGGGCAATACTTTAAATAAATGGACCTGGTTGTGTTCTGATAAAACTATTTACAGTGACAGGCAGCAAGCTAGATTGGAACTCTGAGGCAAAGTTTGCTGACCATTGCTCTAAATGATGCCCAATGTTTATTTAACTACCATCTGCTTCATTGTCATTTTTTTTTTTATAGCATATTTGTCCTCTGGCTGGGTTGTGTTCTGATAAAACTATTTACAGTGACAGGCAGCAAGCTAGATTGGAACTCTGAGGCAAAGTTTGCTGACCATTGCTCTAAATGATGCCCAATGTTTATTTAACTACCATGTGCTTCATTGTCATTTTTTTTTTTTATAGCACATTTGTTGTCTGGCTGGAATATTCCTGCCCTTGTACTCCAATTCACTCTTTGGGGATCAGATGAAACACTCCTTTCTCTGGAAAGCCCATCCTGACTTTCTTAAGCCTGGAACTAGACTCCTCTTCTGGGCACCATGGTACACTAGACCATACCTATCATCACATTTCCTCGTCTGTCTCATCCAAAAGACAGTGATCCAACCAAAAACAGAAGCCAGAGACTATTCACCTGTGTATTCCCACAAGAACTAGCACAGCTATCTAGTCTTTATTTAGTAAATAAATGAACACTCAAAATCTGATCATTATCATAGGCAATTAAGAGAATTTGTGCAAGGCATTTCTTCAGTTCTGCTAGAGCTGGGTCTCAAGTCTTACCTTCTCTTTCCCTCCCCTGGGCTCAGGTAGTACCTTCAATGTGTTCCTGATGCTTGAGCACCACTCTGTACACACTGATATTTCAAGGCACTGAGAATTCAGAATGTATGACAGCTATACATTGCAAGGATTCCGGAGATGGTTGATCTCCTACTACCTGGACAGGTCTAAACTTTGCCAGCTCCCTGTGATTTCTTTCTTTCTTTCTTTTCCTCTTTCTTTCTCTTTATCTCTCTCTCTCTCTTTTTTTTAATTGCCAATGGGCACACATATTCATTAGATGAGGAGCACCTCCCTCACCCTCCATCACATGTAACAGTGGTTACACTACAATCCTTTGTCTTCCATTTCTCCATCTCATCAGGATTTGGATACACATGCACACAGGCACAGCATATTTTTCAAGCTAGGATGAGCTGTGAACTGCAGATGACCATGTGGGATCTGGCTTCCTGTGCATGGCACTAAACCATGGGCCAGTCCCCTTTTTATATTTTTAAGTTTATTTACTTATTTCTTTCCTGAATGAGAAAGACAGAAGGAGAGAGCACTCCCAACAGGGTCTTGATGTCACAATTCAGCCCCAGCTGCAGCCAACTTGAGATCACAGGCACACATGTGCCTAATATGCTCAGGGAGGTCCCTGGAAGGAAATCAAGAGTCATCCCATGTTGGTCACCTTGCAGAGCATCACATTTTACTGGTGTGTCACCACCTGTGTCATCATCACTTTCTCTTCTTGTGTATTTCTTACTTTCTACATGCTTTTTAAAATGAAATGTACATTGGGACCAGCAGTTAGCATAATGGCTATGTTGCTGGACTCCCACATAGTCAACCGCAGTTCGAGTCCTGGACCCGGTGGCTTAAAACCCACGCCGGGCATGTGTGCGTGCGTGCCCAAGATCCGGAGAGGAGAACAGAGGAGAAGGGATTGCGGCGTGGCCATACCCCCCCGGGGGGCGATTTCTCGCTTTCTGTCTCTGTCTCTCTCTGACTGTGGCGAGTGCATGCACCCTATAGCAAAAACCTCTCCAAAAAAAAAAAAAAATGAAATGTATATTGTCTATATGCAAGGATACTGGATTATCCAGATGTTATATTCCATCCTATATTGTTCAAAAGACTGAAGTACAGCATGTTTGTGTAAAGTGAGTCTGGATTGTTCCTCCTTAGCTAGCCAGAGAACAAGATGTGTATTGAGAGTGCTATCCAGTAAGTCTGCATCACATTTCTCCTATAGACTTTGACAGGAAGACTCCAATTATCCCTGCCATATATTCTTACACATATCCTAGGGATGAACAAATGATCTCATTCCTCTTGAGGTAAGTGTAGTGAACCAAAAAAATGAAAAATAATTATAATAAAAGAAAATATTCATGAAGCACCCAATTATATAATGCAAGGTGCTTTAGGTAATTTAAAAATGTAATCTTCACAACAGATCTAAGATGTAGAGATCCTCACAGATGAGAAAACTAGTAATAAAAGTAGTGAAGTAATTTTTCCATAATCACAAAACAAGCACATGGTGAAAGCAGAATCCCAGCTCAGATCTCTGTGCCTCCCAAGTGCAGGTATTTTCTGTTCAATCACACAGAGCAGGGGATTAAAGCCAAGTGGTATTGCTAGATTCAGTAAATAAAAATACAGGATTCCAAGGCCAGCCTCATGTCCTATTGGTTAAGAGGGCCAGATTCCACATGGTCTATTATGACTTGAATCCTAGCCCCAGTGGCTTGAAAAACATGTCAGGCACTCTGCATGCCCCAAATCCTGACAGGATGAAGAAATGGGAGAAAAGGTATTGAGTGACCACTCACCATTTGGGGGTGCTTTTTCCTGCTCTGTCTCTCTCTGGCAAGCACACACACACTCTTTGGTAATTAAAATAAAATGAAAATATAGGATGTCTACTCTAATTTAGTTTCTATATTTTAGTACAAATATATTCCATAAAATATCTGTATATGAAGCGTCTAGGCCAGGTCAACTCTGCCATGGTGGGCATAGTGCCCCTACTGTGTGCCAGACCCTGTGCAGAAAAAAAAGTCTGCTCTCTTATCAACCCCAGAGGGTAGGTGTCCTCATGAGGACAGAAATGAGATGAGGCAGCAAGAAGTTACACTGACTGTCAGATCGTTCCTCCCTCCATATGCTGATTCTACTTTAGTGAAATTATCATCTATAACTGCTCATGACTTAAGATTCTATAACATCTCCAGTCAACAGTGAAGGCTTAATTATCAAAATGGTGAAATCCAGAGTCATGGGTGAAAGTGACACAGATGGTAAGATTGTGTTGGACTCCAGCAATAGAAGGAGAAAGAACATCCTGTTTTGTGTGTGTATGTGTTTCTGTTTTTGCCTGTGTGTGTGTGTGTGTGTGTTTGTGTGTGTGTGTATGTGTGTGTGTGTGTGTGTGTGTGTGTTTGTAATAATCAATAGGAGCTTGTGGAAAACAAAACAGAAAGTCCCTGTGGACTTTGTGAATTTCACCATTCAAGCAGTTCTTGGGAAGAAACCCTGCCTATGAATCTCTGAATCCCATTGTCTCTTTCTCAAAACCCTGAGGAACAGAGTGGAGACTGGTGGAACGGTCAGGCAAAGCCTAGATAAAGAACAAACACACTCTGATAAAAGGCTGACATCAAACAGGGAGTCCTCTCAAGGCAGCAGAAGCCAGGATCGTGTCAGCAGCACAGGGTCACTTATTCCTTACGTCTAAGGTCCTTGCAACACTCCATCTGGAGTCCAGTGGGATCTCAGGGGAAGAGAACTGCAGCATATTCCAACTTCTCAGTATTGTGTAAATCATCTAATCTAATCTAATCTGCTTTACAGATGTACAGTGGCCCTGAGAGGCTGGCTGCCTGGCCCAAGGTAATAGAGTAACTTCATGATGAAACTACTCCATTCTTCAATTTAGTTGACACTAAAACTTATCCTTTGAAATAGGTGCCCTTTCCCCACTCACAGAGAAGTATGCTGGAGCAGAGGGGGACTTGAATTGAAGTCCATTTGAATCTTGGCAACCTTGACCTTCCAAGTCACATAGGAACGACAAATGCCAAGATTTCATCCAAAATATCCTTTCAGCTGCTCTGCCTGAGTCATGTGCTTATGTGTGCGTGCATGCGTGCATTTGTTGTTTGTGTGTGTGTTCTCAGAGGAAAATAAAACTTTACACTGGAAGCATTGTTGACTCCTGGCTTTTAAGTCAGTGGAGAGACCGAAGAGACAAATCCTGTGCTTAATACAGGGATACATTTGCATGGCGATTGCTCTTCATAACAGAATTTGCATTTCCACAACTTGTAATTGCTTCCAACTTCTGGATAGTGAGCTAGCAGACCACGCTGGAGCCAAAGAGGGAAATAGCCACAAAAATGTTAAGCAATCAAAATAAACTAAGATTTATTCCTAACTCTATTGTTACTTTCCTATTTGAATTTGTAGAAGTTGATTACTCTTTCTG